TAAGATACGAACAGATAACACTGCCAACACCTCCCTTTTCTGGAAAGATAAATATACGTGGAAAAAAATTAAAATACAATGCATAGGCCTAATGCATTTCCATAGGTGAATTTATAGGAATCTTTATAATAGAATTTGTCATTTGTTTTACATTCTAAATAAGCCTGCATAAACACAACATTGGTAGTAGGTCATTTTAATATAAAATACTTTACGGTTTAATATAAAACTTTACGGTTTCTCTTTCAATCCTGTGCATACATACAGATTAAATATACTAGATTAAAAGTGTGTATGTGTCTGGTTATTGTATTTGATTGTGACTTGAATAGTCATCTACCTATTTGTTAGTGCTACACATAAAAATCATTTTATATATATAATTTTTTTTGGTCACTCACATTTTTGTGCATTCCCAGTTAATTGAGCTTAATGAACTCACTAAAGTCATATGCACCACTCTTTCAATTTAAATTAATCAGCTATGTGAAGTATTATAAAAACACATCAATAGTCTCTTCATCAGCCTAAATAACAGTGTGATCTCTCTATGTCACCTTCTCTAGTGGTTTCAGTAAGATCCCAGAATGGAAAATCTCCCGTCGGTGTCTAGCCAAATGAGAACACCACTACTGAAGTGTTTTATCTGTCCCACATACTTCCAGTATACCAAAACTGATTTCTTCCTAACCATATACATACACACCGGAGCGGACCGACTTGGAGAAAAACATCTGATCTCACAGCATTATCCTATGACAAAATCTGTTTGATCATAATGACAGCTACGTTTTGACTCACATGAAATATGTTCCACATACATGCATCCAGTAATATTCTGTCCCTCTCACCTTCCACACTAAGCTCACTTAAGTGATTCTCATTTTTAACAGGAGATAAATGCTTCACTGCTGGCTACAGCAGTCTAAGCTGTGTGTGAATGAACCGACTGAAATGGAGTTGTCTGACACACTGTGACAGGCTTAGCTGATTGTGATGTGCTTTGCAAAGATTCTCCGGGTGCCTGAGTAAAGAGGTGGTGGCGCTGGAGGGTCGTCTGATAAATAGGTTAAATAGGAGAAGATGTTTGATTACAGCTCGAAGAACCTCCCTGATATATGTCCATAGCCTTCAGTGGTGCTGTTGGTGTCTGATGGGAACGGCAGAGATGTGTCTTCCAACACTCTTCCCTTCACTTTTCATTAATCCTGGGACCTTTGTTTTTATCTTGCTGTCTTACAGACCAGATTCAGGCTGGCATGTTGTGAACAGATGTTTGACAATTATTCGAAATCACTGGGATTTTGATATTAGTGGGATATTGATCTTGTTCCTCTTAAAAATATTGGTTCTTTATTGGCATCTTTGGTTCCCTGAAGAACATTTAACATCCATGGAACCTTTCCATTGCGCAAAAGGTTCTTTATAGTGGAAAAGGGTTCTTCAGATTATTAAAATCCCCCCCCCCCCCACCCCTTCTTCAGGGACTTTC